TGCAGACACACAAACACGCACGCACATGCAACCACACGCACAAACACGTGCAAGCACACGCACAAACGCGCACAAGCACACGCACAAACACATGCAAGCACCATCCACACACAAACACACCACTGTTCCACCCCTCAAACCTGGGAAACGAAACCAACCTGGACTGCGGTGGCTTGCTCGACAGATGAGGGCGTGCTCGTCTTGAGCGATCGTCACCGCTGCTTCTTCGCGCAGGCCTTGAGGCAGGCCGCGGCTTGCGGCGTGGCGGTGTCTTGTTCAACACGCTCAACAGCAGGCCACCACTGCCGGCACGCTTCCCTGGCGGAGATGATGCGCTTGCATCTGACCTCGTGCGATCGCTGGCATCATATGCCGCTCGCTTGGCAGCAGGTCGCGCACCATCATCATCTTCGCTCCCATCATCATCGTCATCATCAGCATCGTCATCAGCAGCCGCACCATCAGCATCGTCAGGATCGCCCTGCCTATGGTGTGGCTCGTGGTGCTCGGCAATACCATTGAGCGTGGTTGTGTGGTTTCGTCGCAAAGGGGAAGTTTGAGATTGCGCAGCCGATGACACATGCGCACGAACCTCGGGGCTCCTGCCACGATAGTTGTCATCGCCGCTCTCCTCGCTGTCACTCTCGCTATCGCTGGCACCACCACCATCGTCATGTTGACGCTGGTGGTTCTGGTTCTGTTTGTGGCTCGTGTGACCAGCTGCATGGTCATCATCATCATCATCGTCAGCGTTGAGGTCAGCACTCAGTTCCTCTTCCGCCATGGTGGTGTCAGCTCGCACCACCTTGCACCCCTCCACTTGCTGCTGCTGCTGTTGCTGTTGTTGCGGTCGTTGGTTTGGATTTGTGTTTCCAGCAGTCACATGATCCTGTGCCGCCTTCTTGTTGCTCCCCTGCTGTTTTTCGGTCTGCACATCCTCGTGTTGCGTGTCCGGCACACCCTCCTCCTCATCTTCCTCTTCCTCACTATAATTGACAGGTGCTGCTGCTCCTGTACGTTGATGCACTTGCTGCTGCTGCTGCTGCTGCTCTTGTTTTGCATGCAAGGACAGTGTTGGAGATGGTGCAGAATGGCGACTCGTCGTTCTCGACAACACGCCATGCCCTCGCTGCCGTTGTTGTTGCTGCTGCTGCTGTTGTTGTTGTTGTTCATTGGCGGCCATGGCAGTCTTGACCTTTTCCACAACATCACCACCGGCATCCTCATCCTCAGCATCGTCACCATCATGATCATCATGATCATGATCATCGTCATCGTCTTCCGTGTCGTCAAACTGCGTCTCTTTCCCCGAATCGAAAATGAGACCCGAGATGCGTCGGCGGTCACTTCCCTCATCCAGCACCACCGGCTTGCTCGCCGCTGTCGCTGTTGCTGTCGCTGTTGCTGTTGCTGCTGGTACAGAAAGGGCTTTGTGTTGCTCACTGGGGGCATTGGTCGCGTTATGGCCGTCGCTGCCACAGCGGACAGCATTGTCGTCAGCAGCATCATTACCGCCATCGCCGTGGGAGGTGCGTGAGATGACGGGTGACTCGCCTGGTGGGTACCCGTACACGGCTGTCGAGTCCTGCCGCGCAACCGAGGATGTGGTGGTTCCGCCATGCGGTGATGTCACCGACGACGGCATGTGTGTGTCATCATCTTCATCGTCACCGTCGTCGTCGTCGTCAGCATCGTCATCGCCACCCATAACGTCATTGTCGGTGCTCTTCGTGGTGTTCACGTGGGCTGCATGGGAGGTTTCACCACCGAGATTGCGACTGCATGTGGTGTCGCGTTCTGTCCTCTTGCGCTCGTCAGCGCACGCGCGCTGGTGGTCTCCTCTTTGACCATCATCATCGCCATCAACATCGCCATCGCCATCAGCGCCAGCATTACCGACACTCGCCATCGCGCTTGTTGGTGTGCGCACCTCCACCGTTGCCTTGGCAACACTGCCCATAATCGCACGTGCTGTATCGGCACTGCCATCGCTCACATCCTGCGCAAGGCCTCGGTTCGGGGTAGTTGTCGTCGTCGTTGTTGCTGAGGACGAGCTTGGCGCTGTCGTGGTCGTTGTTGTTGCTGTGGTACCTGCTGTTGCTGTTGCTGTTGCTGCTGTGGTGATGCTGCTGGACGCCCCATCGCCGACGGCCGATGCAGTTTCCGTGCTCGGCTGACGGGACTGCGGTTGTTGTTGTTGTTGTTGTTGTTGTTGTTGTTGTTGTTGTTGTTGTTGTTGTTGTTGTTGTTGTTGTTGTTGTTGTTGTTGTTGTTGTTGTTGTTGTTGTTGTTGTTGATCAAAAGCCACGCTGTCAACTGTGTCCTGCGTGCATGTGTCAAACTGTGTCTGCTGCGTCTCCGTGAAGCGCTCTGAATTCATCGTGTCGCGCAAGGAATCGTCAATCCGCAGCGAGAACTGTGACATGAGCTCGTTCTGTGGTATTCCAGCACCGGCAGCGTCCCACACATCCGTCGTTTGCTGTTGTTGTTGTTGTTGTTGTTGTTGTTGTTGTTGTTGGGCAGCAGCGCCTGCCACTTGTGATGCCGACACCGTTGTTGGACCGGACGTTTGCTCCGTCTCTCCGCCAGTGGTCACGCTGTCAACAGTCGTGGTGGTTTGCTGCTTGTGCTGTTGCCGCTCATGCACGCTTCCTTCTTCTTCTTGTTCGTCTCCGTCATCGTCATCATCGTCACAATCATTGTCATCGTTGTTGTTTGCAACTGACGGCGCAAGCAGCATCTTTGGCGCTGTTCCTGATATGAGCACGGGTGTGCGTGTGAAGAGCATGCTGTTCTCGGACTCAGCCAGCGAGTCCAATGACTGCTGTACTCGAGGTGCCGGACACGGCAGCGACACGCGGTCGTCATCGTCCTTGTCAAGTGCATGTTGTGAGCTCCGCCTTCTGTTGCCGCCATGAGCCGTGGTGCCATTGGCGGCGGAGCAGGCTGCGGTTGTTGCGGCTCCCCCTGCAGTGTTGTTGGAGTTGGCGGTGGTACTGGCTCTCGTGGGCTGCGGACGACGTGGTTGTTCCACTTCCGCTCTGTTGCCATCATCGTCAACATTGCCATCATCATCAACAACATCGCCGCCCTCCTCCTGCATGGGAAAGGGTGTTGGTGCATGTCCAAACATCTCCTCAACCGAGACGGGACGGGATGGATGGCCCGGTTGGTTGCGCTGCGAGGTGGCTGGATTCACATTTGATACACGAGCGCCTGTTCCTGTGCCAGGCACTGACGATGGCTGTTGCTGTTGATGATCACCACCACCATCCTCGCCATCGTCATCATCAGCGCCATCAGCCCTGCGCTGTTGTTGCTGTTGTTGCTGTTGTGGTCGGACTGGCACTTGAGCTGGAGAGCGGTGCGCTGCGGCAGTACCGGTGTGAGCGGCTGTGGTGGCCTGGGTTGGCGTGGCAGGGTTGGTGAAAAGGATGTTGCTTGCATTGTGAGGCATGTCGTCGGCCTGCGACGCATCCGGGTACACATCCATGAGAGTGGCCTGAGAGCCGTCGTCATCCAGGTCATCAGACAGGAGAGGAATGGCCAGCCCGCTCTTGCTCAACTGACGCGGCGGCCTCCGGTCAGACACCTGGCCAGACAGCTGCAGGCCATTGAAGGAGGAAGAGCGGTGGTCTTGGTGCTGCTCTCGCTGCTGTTGCGGTTGTGGTTGGTCTTCATCGTACGTGGTCAGGCGCATGTGTTGACTCCCGTTGTGATGTACATCATCATCATCAAAGAACAGCGCATCCACTGCATGTGTGTGTGTGTGAACGTGTGTGTGAATGTGCGTGTGTGTGAATGTGTGTGAAAGTGTGTGTGTGAGGGTGAGAGAGAGAGAGAGAGAGTGTGTGTGTGTGAGTGTGAGTGTGAATGTAGCGTGGACGAAAGGCAACGCATGTGCACACACACACACACACACACACACACACACACACACACACACACACCACCCGGCCCGGGGGTTGCAACATAACCACGCGTCTACTGGTTGGTGGCTTAAACGTTTGTGTGGAACGTGAATTTCGTAGGTGACGAAAGAATCACAGCGGAACCAATACACCTAAGCTTTGTCACTGTCCAGAACTTGGTACAAGCGCATCCGCGCGAGGCACAGTGACACACACACACACACACACACACACACACACACACACACACACACACCCTCACCGCTTGAGCTGAACAAGTCCTGGGACGTCATGGCGCTCCTTGAGACTCTTCTTTATCCCCTCAAGAGTGTCTCAATTGTGACAATGCGGCAGTGTGCTGAACAGCAGAGCAACCGATGGAGTGAGTGGGTGAGGTAGTGCAACCACCCCCTGCAACCCGTTCTCGCTCGTCTCGCTTGTCTTTGTCGTGCTTGGACGAGTCGCTTTCGCGGCGCGCAAAAAGTGGCGGGAAGTTGGTTGTGGACAATTTGTTGATATTTTCATAGAATATGCACGCCGCCAAGTTCAAAAAACGTGTTGTGTATTGGTTGGTGGTTGCAACAGAAAACACAGGCGACACAACACCACGAACACAGAGATGCGGGGAGAGAGTCCGTCACACCAGTCAACACACATTACACGCACAGACACATCACACATCACACATCACACACACACACACACATCACACATCACACATCACACACGCGCGCGCGGATCACTCCATGAAGCAAAGTGCAGTTGGCTTGCAGCGAGGTGGAAGGGCGACAATGCCCGCTCGCTCACGCCCGGTGTGTGATCACTCAAAGGCCTTGATGGTGTTGGCAATGATGTCTGCGCACTCCTCAATCTGGTCCTTGTTGATGACGAGTGGGGGTGCAAAGCGGATGATGTCGTCGTGCGTTGGCTTGGCGAGCAGCCCGTTGTCACGCAGCTTCATGCACACATCCCAAGCAGTCTGCAGCATGTTGTGCATGGATACGCGGGTGCGTGTGAGTACGTGTGAACATGTGTGCGTGTAAATGTGTGCGTGTAAATGTGTGCGTAGATGAGGGTGTGCGTGCGTAAAGCAGGTGAGCTTGTGTGAGCGTGTGTGAGCGTGTATGGTGTGTCGCGCGTGTGCACAAAACCTGCACCAACAAGAGCCCACAAGCCATCGCACCTTGCCCTTGTGGGGCTTGATGACAATGGCGTTGAGGAGGCCCTTGCCGCGCACGGTAGTGATGAGCGGCGAGTCAAGCGCCGTCAGCCGGTCGCGAAGGATCTTGCCCATCCTGTGCGTGTGTGTGTGTGTGTGTTGGGATTGAGATGCGTGTTGGTGGGGACCGCGTGGGAGAAGATATGAAGCTAAAACACACAATCGCGTCATCGCGCGGGTGGGTACAAACAACAATACACCCAAACAGCACAATACAAGTAAACGCATGTGTGTGTGTGTGTGTGTGTGTGTGTGTGTGACAGGGTGTCAATGATGTGGAGGGCCAACCCATGTGCGCGCTGTGGCCTGACCTGTTTGCGTTCTCGGCGAGGTTCTCCTCAACAAGAACCTTCATGGCCGCCATGCCCACAGCGCAGGACAGCGGGTTGCCGCCAAAAGTGGAGCCTGGCACCAACCAACCAACAACAAGCAGACAAACAAAACCATGAAACGCATGGAGAGAAGAAGAAGAAGAAGAAGAAGTTGTGGGGAGGGGGAGGTGCAGGCGTTCAAGGGTTTGACGTGAGAACAATAAATTGTTGTGAGCATGGATTGGAGGCAGTGGAAACGAACTGCAGTGCAAAAGACAGCAAGCGACGCATGCATAGGCACACCTGCACCCACCCCCCACACACACATGCACACACACATAATGCACACATGCACTTCTTTGTCCTTTTGTCTTCTGTCCACGGTTACAACGCAAGTGCAAGCAGACGCACCGTGCTGTCCGGGCTTGATGGTGAGCATGACCTCGTCGTTGGCGAGCACGCCAGAGACGGGCAACACGCCGCCAGAGAGCGCCTTGCCGAGCACAACAACATCGGGCTTCACCTGTACTCCACCCAAGTTGAGGCACGTGTGTACGTGCATGTTTGTGTTTGTGCGCGAGTGTGCGTGAGAGAGGAGGGAGACAGACGCAAAGAGGGGGGGGGGGCTTGACAGGCAGACAGACATGCAGACATGCAGACAGACAGACAGACAGGCAGACAGACAGAAGGATCCAATAGAACTGTTTGAGCATCTCACTGGGCGCACACACACACACACACACGCAGACACACAGACAGACACAGACACACAACCCTCCGTTGTTGGCGGTTACATCCGTTGCACGCACCTCCTCGTAGTCGCAGGCGAGGAGCTTGCCCGTGCGTGCGCAGCCTGTCTGGACCTCGTCGGCCATGAAGAGGCAGTTGTTCTCGTGGCAGATGCGCTGCGCCTCCCGCAGGTAGCCCTCATCCTGCGGTAGGGGTCCATGGTGACAAAGGGAGGGCGTGCATGAGACAGTGTGAGTTGGGTGGCAGGGAGGAAGAGACGAAATGTAGTGCGGGGGAAACGCACGCAAGGCCACGCACACGCACGCACACACACATAAACAAGCAAGCAAAGCACGACAACAACAATGAGCACAAGTGGGAGCATGGTGTGTGTGTGTGTGTGTGTGCATGACGTACGGGGACGATGACACCGGCCTCGCCCTGGATGGGCTCGCACTTGTACGCGGCGACGGTTGGGTCCTTGACAGCCTCCTCAAGCGCCTTGAGATCACCAAATGGAACCTTGATGAACCCTGGCATAAACGGGCCAAACCCGCCGTAGCTGCAGGTTGCAAAAGGACGAGAGATGGAGAGGAGGATGGGCAGGGACGTGACAATGATTGTTGTGAGTTGTGGGGGACACGGGAACAACGGCAGTTCAGCCCAAGCACACACATTCACACGGCGCGCGCGCAAGCACACACACACACACACACACACACACACACACACAAACATGTAAGTGCACCTCTCTGGATCGGTGGAGGCGGAGATGGCGGCGAGCGTGCGGCCGTGGAAGTTGTTCTCGGCAAACACAACCTGTGCCACGCAAGCAGAAATGGATGCATGCATGCAATGAGGTTGGCGCACCGTCTCTCTCACACAAACACTTATACACACACTCACTCACTTACACACTCACACATACACACACTCACACAACCATTGGCGCACCTTTGCCTGGTTCTCTGGGATGCCCTTGACGTCGTAGCCCCAGCGGCGAGCAAGCTTCACACCCGTCTCCCACGCCTCAACACCTAACACACACATACACACATACGCATGCACAGCAGCACGCAGCAAGTAGTTGGTAGTTGTGGTGAGTTCCACGGGGCCAACACGACACATGCCGCACAACAGACACAGACACACACACACACAGACACGCACACATAGGCACAGAAGATGTACGAACGCACCGGTGTTCATGGGGAGGAACTTGTCGTAGCCAAAGAGCTGCGTCATAAACTGCTCAAACTCGCCCAGCTTGTTGTTGTAGAAGGCGCGGGACGTCAGCGTCATGTTCTCGGCCTGCAAAGACAGTCATTCCGGGTGGAAGGGGGGAGATGGCGAATGAGCGGTGTGGTCGTCTTGGCATGGCAGATACACGAGCAACGCACACAATTTGGCACGGGAGCCAAGGCACTTGCAAAACAGTTGGCTGCACGTGACACCCAACACACACACACACACCTATACCAATGCATGCATGCATGTATGTGCCATACCTGGTCGATGAGGGCCTTGACGATCTTGGGGTGGCAGTGGCCCTGGTTGACGGCAGAGTAGGCGCTGAGGAAATCATAGTAGCGCTTGCCGTCGACGTCCCACACAAACACGCCAGAGCCGCGGGCAAGGACAACTGCAGATATCCAAGGACCAACGCGTGTGAGTGTTTGCGAGTGGGTACGTGTGAGGAAGAGAGTGAGTGCATGAGTAAGAAGAAAGGCACACATTCACATGCACTCACATGCACTCACGCACACATACATCACTCTGAGTGAAGCACAGGTGCTCACACGTGAGCAAAACAGAAAAAACCATCATGGTGTTTGAAGGGCAGAGATCACGCACGTCATCGACGACAAGAAAAAGCGTACCTGGGAGAGGGTGGTAGTTGTGGGCGCCGTAGGTGTCCTCACGGTGGATGAACTTGAGGGAAGCCTCCGTGTTGGGCTCCGGGTCTGTCGGTGAGGACATGGCACGAGCCTGCTGGCGAATAGCAGGCACGGCAGTGCGAGCACTGCTCACGATGCGGCGTGTCGACATCATCATCATCGTTGTTGTCTTCTTCTTGTTCTTCTTGCTGCGCGCTTCACGTAGTGTGTTCCTTGTTCCCTCTGCTTCTCCTGCTGCGTTTGCAAGATCAAAAACACAACACAGTGAACAATGCAAAAAAAGCCACGGGCTCTTCAGAAGTGAGAAGGAGACAGGTGGGTGATGAATGACCTGAGGAAACAAAAGGGTGGAAGACCCTGATTGGTCGTGCAACTGTTATGGCTTAGTTTGGCTTTGCTTTGGTGGATGACATGAACCAATCAATCAGCAACAAGACAAACAACACCCATCCACACGCCGCCGCACAATGATGGCTTCATGAGTCAAACAGAGGCAAGCAGGCAAGGCAAGCAGACTAGGCAAGCAGACTAGGCCAACAACCATCCTACCCTATCATGTGTGAATGCAAGATGCAACGTCGCCAAACACACCCCAGCCACCGCACCACAACCACGCGATCACACTTCCTTCTTTTCAGCAGCACACCTTTTGTCTTCGTCTTGCGTTCGAATCCAGTGGTGTGGAAATGCGGCTGCTTGCAATGTCCACACAAACGGTTGTGGCGGACGCAGGCAAACGAAGCAAGATGGCTGTTGGCAAAAGCGGCTTTGCCAACTTTGCTGCAAACGAAGTTTGAAAGCATCTTCAACAAAATTTCCGCCGTCCTCTCAGCCCCAGACCGACCCGGCCAAACGACAACCAACATGAGGTGTGACGATGCTGGGAAGAAGGAAGGCGGAGACGGAAAGCGAGCGGAGGAGGACGGGATATGGAGAGGTTGTTCATGGGGGAGGAAATGTGTGAGGTCGAGGCAGATTGGAGGCGCGTTCATTGGTTATCGCGTTGGGGAGCATGTGCTGTGTGTGTGTGTGTAAGTGTGTGTAAGTGTGTTGTGTGGTGTGGTGGGAGTTTTTGGTTTTGTTGGTTGGTTTTGCTGGCGTGTGCTTGTGATCAGCAACGCACAGAAGCGGTTCGGTCGCTCACACACCACCTTGCACCGCTCATGTGTTTTGACGTTGCAACCTCCTGTTCAGCATACTCTCTCACTCACTCTCAGTCAGTCACACACACACACACACACAATCTCACATTCCTTGCAACGTGGTATGTTTTGCTTGTGCTTGCAGTGATCCGGCACAATCCGAGGAACAGCTTCGAGCGTCAATCAACCAGCAGTTGATTGAGAGCGGACAGAAAGAGAGGTGTGTATTTATTCTGGCAGCGGTTTGTTTGGTCAATGTGTGTGTGGGTGTGTGTGTATGTGTTGTATGTGTTTGTGTGTGTGTGTGGGTGTGTGTGTGTGGGTGTGTGTGGGTGTGTGTGGATGTGTTTGTGTGTGTTCATGTGTGGAGGGGTTAGTTGGAGCTGACCTATGACCTGTGCGCATGTGTATTTGTGCCGCTTTGTGTGTGCTTGTGTATTTGTCCTGCATGTTGCTTGAGTCGTCTCTTCCTTTGAGTTGATGCGACGCAACATCGTTGTGCTCGCGTGCTTAAGCTCCGCTCCGTTGGTTTGTTGAATATGCTCACCGTCTGTCTCGTTCACTTCATCATTGGCTGTTTGTTCTGTCGTGGGGTAGGCTCAAGGCCATGCTCAGAGATGAGTTGAAGAAGAGCAATTGGCGTGATCGCGTGCGCGACTTGGCAAGCGGTATGTGTGTGTGTGTGTGTGTGTGTGTGTGTGTGTGTGTGTGTGTGTGTATGTGTGTGTGTGTGTGTGTGCGAGTGTACACATATCATCATGTGACTTCTCCCATCCCATGCTGTTGTTTCCGCTGCATGTTTGTTTACGGTGTTTTTCGTTTGTGCCCCCCTTCTTCCCGGGGTTCACTTCCCGGTGACGTCAGGCAAACTGCAGGATCAAGGGGATATGACAGTAGCACAGCTAGTTGCAGCCATCACCCCTGAAGCAAGACGTACGCTGTGACTTGTGGATGCAGTGTGTGTGTGTGTGTGTGTGTTTGTGGATGCGTGTGCGTGTGCGTGTGTGTACGTGTACGTGTGTTTGCGTATGTTTGCGTATGTGTGCGTGTGTGTGTGTGTGTGCTTCATGCATGTACGCTTGCTATGCTTATTCCTTTGCTTGTGTGTTTTGCACACATCATGGATCCACCTGCGTACAACACCACCTCATCCCGCCCTTCATCTCCCTCGTTCTGCAGAGATGGTACCGGAGGAAGTGAAGATGAAGCTCATGGCCAATATTCAACGCAGCCTGCGGCAAACTGTCGACGAGGATAATGCCTCATCTAACTGATCAACCATCCAACAATAACAACCAACAACAACAACAACAACAACAACAACAACAACAACAACAACAACAACCACAACAACAACAACAACAACAACAACAACAACAACAACAACAACAACAACAACAACAACAACAACAAACGTGAAGAAGACAAGCTAGCTGCGCTTGATGACTTGTCTGTCTGTTCATGTTTGTTTCTCATCTTGCTTTGTTCTTCGCTCCTCCCATATCACACATGTTCTTGTTTTGTCTGTCAACGCTACCACTCGCGCCCTAACTCTACTATTGTTCCCAACATCCATCATCGCCCGAGCATTTTTTGTCTGTGTTGTCCTTCTTCCATTTCACTTTCAATTGGTCGTCTCGCCTTCCTTCCTTCCTCCTGTTTTGCTACCCTGCCTGCATGCCTGATGTAAATAGACCAACCAACCAACCAACCCACGAATGATGCCAACCATCACAGCTGTGCCTGCTGCCCCTCTCTGTCATCGTCCACATCAAAGCACCCCCCATCTTCGCACACACCTCTTGTCATCACTCCGCTTAAGACCGGATACGTGCCAAAGTTTGTTGGTGGTGGTGGACCCAGCCAGTCGTTTATGACAGGAAAGAGACAAGACACAAGCAGGGCGGCAACATGCACGACAAAGCCACACGTTGCCAGCAGTTCCCCGCAAACGATGCCACTCACATGCACACACACCCGACAACAAACGAAGCAGCCACATCACGCACGCACGCGCGCAGGATGAAGCGACTGCAGCAAGCAGACGGATGCATGCGGTAGCTGGGGCACCATCACCGCCACACACAGAGAGACGAGACGGTGTGGATGAACAACGAAAACGCCACGCGAACCAAACACAAGCAAGACAGCTCAGAAGTTGAGCTTGGTCTGGCGCCAGCGGCGGCGCTTGGCGTTGTATCGGATCTTGTTGTCCGTTTTCTGAACGAGGACAAAGAAACGGTGTGTGCGTGCGTGTGCGTGCGGTGAGGTATGGGTGTGAGTGTGTGCACGAGGGGGTTCATAACTGTGCGGTTGATAGAGGGTTGTTAAGAACGGTGCGTGAATGCAACACAAAGAAGAAGCGTATGTGCACGCGCTCGTGCACGATTGCGCGTGCCTTGGCTCGCACGCACTCAAATACAGTTACCTCACGCAACAACCACGCCTCCACCGAAAGCCACCATCACACACACACGCACACATCAACAAACCCACAAACATTCCCGCAGCTGCACGGGCACACGACACAATCAACAGCAACAACAAGAGCAACCACAGCAATCCCTCTAGCGCCAAGACTCACGAGGCGGATCCACTGGGGAAGAGGCCTGTTCTTGCGGGCGGCCTTGGCCAGCTTCATCTTGATCCTGAAGGACTTGTGGCTGGGCCTGTGCGTGGTTGGAAGAACGAGAACAAAGAGGAAATGTGGGAAGAAGGGTTGGAAGCGGGGGTGGAAGAAGACACAGCGATGAGTCAAGAATGGAGTCGCGGCGGTACGTGCGTGGTGCAAACGCGAAGCGACAGCACACGGAAACGTGTGCATTGGGTTGTGCCTCTGCTGCTGATGCTGCTGTCTCGGCGTTCACAGCGTTTAGCTTTGTATCCCTGAATCATCAAACACAGCTCCTCGTATCTGCTGCCATACTCCTCATCGTAACAGCATCGCTCATTGCGACGTCGTGTCTCTCCCTGGCCACTCATCAACGAAGCTGCTTCGTCTTTGCACACACCCTGTGCTCGGTGCTCGGTGCTCGGTGCTCTGTGCTCGGTGCTCGGTGCTCTGTGCTCGGTGCTCTGCACTTTCCTTGCTTTGTGGCCCGCGCTTACGCACACAGCCCACGCACATCCACACAAGCACACACACACAAGCAGCAGCACACTCACATGGTTGGTTGTCGTGTGCTGTAAAGGATGATGCGGGAGGAAAAAGGCACACTCGCACACGCTGTCCCCACAGAAGCAAATAAATCCAGAACACAGCACCCTTTTCTCTTTTGCTCCCTCAATCATTCCTAATAATCGATTCACTTTAATCATGTCATTCCTGTTTATCTATCATTTAGACAGCTCTGCCTGTCGTGCTGTCGACGGCGGAGACGAAGCAGCGAAACACAACACCACACACACACACACACACACACCATGGCCGATGATGACAGCAGCACTGGCAGCGCTGTCAGTAGTGATGGTGGATGCAGGCCGATGGACGTGATGTTCTTGAGGCTGCTGGTGGAAAAGGCCGTGTTGGCCAAGGGCGCCAGTGCGGGAATCAACAGCATCAGCACAAGCAAGCGCAGCTTGCCCAGTACTGGCGCTGCGAAACACGACACCGATCCCATGGCCATGTGTCGTGAAGCCATTCAAGAGTACCTCCGCCACACGGCAATGAAGCATTCCTTGCAGCAGCAAAAGGCCTGGATCCAACCTCCCGTGCTCGGGGATGTCGAACTGGATTTCTTTCAGGCTGCCAGGGTTCGTCAGTGTGTGGATGTGTGTGGATGTGTGTGTGTGTGTGTGTGTGCGTGCGTGCGTGCGTGCGCGTGCGCGTGGATGTGTGTGTGTGTGCGTGCGCGTGTGTGTGCCTGTGCGTGTGCGTGTGTGCGTGTGCGTGTGTGCGTGTGGGTGCATGTGTGTGTGTGTGTGCGTGTGTGCGTGTGCGTGTGTGCGTGTGGGTGCGTGTGTGCGTGTGGGTGTAAGAAGATGGCTCTGTCCCGTGCACCACGTAACCCATCGACCTGTTCCCACCTCTCTCTCTCTCTCTCCAAACACAAACACATACGCACATGTGCACACATACAGCAAGCGTGGCATCGCAAGATCGATTGCCGCCTCAACTTGATCATCACAGAGCATCACATGCCACTGACACTGCCATCAACATCGCCCAACTCGGCAACGCTGCCATCGCGCGAGGTCTTCGTTGACAGAACCCGCCCAGGTGTGTCACAGAGAACCCAAACACCTGTACACATCGTGCCATGGACGACAGTGTGCTGTGCAAGTTGACCGCAATGGCACAACAAGCGTACAAGCACTCAACACTCACCCAACGACTTGCACATTCACACACACACACACACACACACACACACACACACACACACACACACACACACACACACACACACACACACACACACACACGCACGCCTGCTCCCATACAATCGTTTGACGCAGAGCCGTTGAAGACGTCCATGTTTGTCTACGACCATCAGGACCTGCTGCGTGAGTACCTGGCGCTGCGTAACCCGAACATGCGGGAGGACGCGTATGCCCCGCTCGAGTTTGCCGGGCCACGATTCGCCACGCCGTCCCTTAGTGCCCTCCGATCCCTCCTGCACGACCTCAACCCTTCCCTTCCACAGGTGCGTAGCGAGGCCACGTACCCTGGCCATGATACATGACATGTTTTGAAATATATACACACACAACACGCACACACACACCACACACACACACACACACATACACACAGACACACACACATACACACAGACACAGACACAGACACAGACACACACACACACACACACACACACATACTTCACCCACCCCCCCCCGGACAACAGCGTGGGTATGCTCACACTGGTCCTGCGCGTGTGCGGTGATGGTGCTTGTGTTAGATTGGCACGCAAGATAGTGTGTTCTCCGCAACGAAAGGAAGCAAAGATACGCATCTCCAGGCGTTGTTGGACACAGTACAACGCCTCACCAAATCAGCCGAGCCAAGCCACTGCCGCGCCCTTTGTCGGCGGTAAGCACGTGTGTGTGTGTGTGTGTATGTGTGTGTGTGTGTGTGTGTGTGTGTGTGTGTGTGTGTGTGTGTGTGTGTGTGTGTGTGTGTATGTTCTGGGTGTGTGGATGATCATCCTCCCCTTCCGCTCTTTCTTGCTTCTTTGAGCTCTTTCAACCCTCTCCTCCCCAGAAGCCTAGCCTACCCAACACCAACCACTGCCTCTGCCCCACCCTCGCCACCCACGCCATGCCATACATCACCAGCGGGTGCCCCGTGGCGCAGCGGGCAACCTTGTGGTATATGGCCACGTGCGGCGCGGACCCCAACGACTACGCATTGAAATACGACGAGGTCAGTGAGGACAGTGGAGACAGTGCGGGTTCAGTCGCACGCATCACACCTTCCACGGCCTGTTCCACTCTTCCACACCCACCAGGGCTTGCTCACACCCCAACCGAGCACAGTGCTACACTGACTTCAACTCGCCGCCATCACTGACACCACGACTCACCATGATGGTGTGCAGCTGTGGCATGAGATTCGGCAGGTGCGTCGCCCCGTGGACCACCTCCTCGCTGCAGACGCAAAGTACCAGACAAACCTCGACGACAACTACTTTGTCTTCTACGTGAGTGTGTGTGTGTAAGTGTGAGTGTGAGTGTGTGTAATTGTGTGCGTGTGTGATATTGTGTGCGTGTGTAATTGTGTGTGTGTGTAATTGTGTGCGTGTGTGTGATTGTGTGCGTGTCTGTTTTCAGCTGTGCACCACGCGTGACCGTCCTTTCATTCACTGCCAACACCATCGCATGCCGTTTTCTCACATGCACGTGCATGCACGCACACGGATGCGAAACTTTGTTACCAGGACGTCATCCTCGAAGTGATGATCGCGCTGATTCGGGACCCAGCGCTCAGCTCCGAATACGGCTGGTAAGCACCACATTCCGTGCATCACACACACACACACACACACACACACACACACACACACACACACACACACACACACACACACACACACACACACACACACCCGTTCACACACATGCAAATGTGTGGTGTAGCACCAGCCTGGGAGCAGACGTGGTTCCAAACGGCATTGTTCCGTTCCGTGGCCTTTGCCTCTTCGTCGCCCCACTCGCATTTATCTATCCGCGAACACCACAGCTGTACCGCGTCTTTGTCAAGGTCACACACACACACACACACACACACACACACACACACACACACACACATACAAGACATACACGACAACATGCAAATGAATTTGCTGGCATCTTGCACATGTGTGTGTGCTGTTGTTTTTGTTCTGCACTGGCTCATATACACTTGCAAAATGGCTGCAGCTGTACACGCGGTACTTTCGTCTGCTACACACGCTCAACGAATATCCAAACGTGAGCGACACATTGCTACCGTTGCACCGTAGCTGTTTACCGACACATCTCTGCCCTGTGTCGTAGCATGTGTCAACTTTGTCAACTTTGGTTTACTTCCCATCCCAAACCCGTGTCTCACAACAACAAGTAATGACCACCGCCACAATAATGCACATGTGTGTGTGTGTGTGTGTGTGTTGGTGGTGGTGGTGGTGGTGCTCTAGGGTATTGCCCGTCTCAGTCAAACGTTTCTGGACCTGATGCAAGTGCGGCTGCCACATCTCCTCCTTCACCTCAAGGTCCGGAGGGCATGCGTGCTGCGCACATCATTGCCACCGATGCATGGCTGCAATGACACAGTCACTGCTCGTATGTACACATGCACACGAGCACCCCTGCGCTGACACGCACAGTTGCATGTCCTGATTGATGCCCGCACATGGACGGTGACAAACAGGGTCTTGGGGTCAATCCTCTTGAGATTGCGTTTCCGTGGATGTTCCAGGCCTTTTCCGGCTACCTCCTGCCAGAACAGGTTCATGTGACAGTGATTCTGCTCTTGCTGCCATTGCAACTGCACAACATACACATTTAAGCACATTTACACACACACACACACACACACACTCACACACTCACACACTCACCAACAGGTGCTGCTGCTGTGGGACCGCATCATTGGCTTTGATACGCTGCATGTGCTGCCACTGCTCAGCTTTGCGCTGTTTGCGTTCCGCCAGCGCGCGCTCGCTGTTGCGCGCACGAAGAGGGACGTGGAGTTTGTGATGGCCGATCTCCGCTCCATCGCCGTCGTGCCGCTCATGCAGTACGCCCTCTTCGCTCGCGACATTGCAACCGCAGCATAATGCACACACACACACACACACACACACACACACACACACATACACACACACACACACACACACACACACACACACACACACACACACACACACACACACACCAACACAGAGTGGGGTGTCGTGTGTTTGCTTGCGCTGACGCCATGGTGCCGCTCGCTCTCATGCTACATGTGACATGTTTATGTACAGTTTTGATAAACTGAACTGAAGGACCGCCAACACTAAAGAGCAACAATGCCAACACGCGCTCAAACAATATGGCCATCAGCATGATACTCGTACCTCCCCTGCACCACAAGCCGGATCAGAAAGACACAAGGACACATCCACACACACACACACACACACACACACACACACTTCCACCCAACAGACCATCCACATCCACATCCACATCCACATCCACATCCACATCCACATCCACACGTCAGTACACGTGCACAATGACAAGAGGTACACCAAAGAGTTGGCCAAAGCTACAACAAGAAGGACAGAGGGAAGGGATGGGGCAACGAGCGCAAGCGACAAAACTGGCACGGGCTCAGAGACAATGGACTTTGTCGGAGATGAAGAACAAGAAGCAGGCGAGCAAACAAGGTCGCAAGAAAACGCAGAAGCGGCAAGAAAGGGAAAAACCATGTCGATGAATGGATAACAGAACGCCTAACTGAAGCAAGTAGTGTAAAGAAAGGAAAAAAATCAGCAGAAGTGAGCAGTCTCATGGAAGCGGCACACACACACACACACACACACACACAACGCACGCACGCACGCCACAACCACGTTAACAGACACAATGGGATCAGCTGCTCATGTCAATGTCAGCAACTCTGCCACTGCCATCTGCAAAGGCGAGGTGGGTTCCGTCCATGTTCCACGAGACACAAAACACGGCACCTTTCGACAGCAGCGTCTTCACCACGTCTTGTCTCTGTTGGTGGTCAATACGTGCACATCCACGGACAAGACGCAATCAAACTTGAGTGGCGTACAACAAACAAGTTCCCAAATAACACACATTCCAATCAGCACCCTGAACGCACATCCAACGCCTCAACACGTGTATAATCTGTAGTTTCCCTCCCCCCCTCTTCCAAGCACTGTTAACACGGGCGCATGCGCGCACCTCGACATCCCAAACGATGACGCGGCAGCCGCCGTCGCTTGTGGCCAGCCAGCGACCGTCAGGGCTGAACTCTGCGCACAAAATACCACTGGCGTGGGCTTTCAATGCGTGGAGACACACGCCCCGCCGCCCATCGACGATGCGCACGGTGCCGTCATCCGCACCACTGCTCGAAAGCAAACAAGGGCAAGGGAGAAGTGTATTACGGGTGAGGGTGGGCAGCACAGTAGCACTCAAGCATAGACAGACGCCGCAACGTGAGTGTGAATGCAGCACGGGAATGAAGGCCAGTGAGCGCGCGCGCGCGTGTGTGTGTGTGTGTGAGAGAGAGAGACAGACAGACAGACAGACAGACAGACAGAGATGCAATGAACACATGAGGATACATGTGCCTGCAACCTCATGCACATGCACACGCGCTTGCTATCAGGTACATACGTGACAAGGAGGTGGGACGACGCCTCTGCTCGGCACCAAGCAAGAAACTTCACGGGTGACTCGTGCTGGATCACGTGCTTCACGTTCTCGCTCTCCAATGTCCACAGCTAACACAAAGGGATGTGTGTGTGTGTGGGGGGGGGGGTAGTGTTGTGAGGCAGTGGCACCGGAAACACATCGGTCTCGCAAAACACAGTGCAATCGCACACATACACAAAGACAAACACACAGCTACATCACCACACAACCAAGAGTCACAGCATACCCGGACTGTTTTGTCGTCAGACCCTGATGCAAGCATCTTGAGGCTGTCGTTCCAATCAACCATGTTCACGTCATCCGTGTGGCCAGAGAACCGCTGTTGAAAGTACGGCTTCTTCACCCCAAACATACAAATCATCGAATCTGCACGCAGCCAGCCACGAACGACATGACGATCATGCGACGGGTGAGTACTATGCGGGAGTGCGCGTGAAAGAGGTGGCGTGTGTTTCTTTCGTCATTCACACTTACATTCTTATTCACACATACACACGCACGCACTCACATTCACACACATGCACACATGCACACACACACTCACGTGCACACACACACACTCACACTCGCACATACACTCATATTTACTCTCCACTGCACCACGTTGGCACTCAACCAAAAACCACACCTGTTCCCGCAGTCACGAATTTGTCCTCTGCAATCCAAGTCAGGCTCAATATCGATCCTGGTGCACGAAGCAAGAAGAGGCACGCGTGAGTGGGCACGATGATGCAAGCAAGGCAGTGGAGGAAATCAAGGGCCGTGCTACCGATGAACACTAACATCAACCAGCCAACCAACCAACCAGCCAACCAACCAACCAACCAACCAACCAAACAAACAAACAAACAAACAAACAAAAAACCAACCTTCATGGAATGACGCGCCAAGAAGCTTCTTCTCTGTGCGAGTGTTCCAGATCATGACGTTGCCGCCACCGTCGCCAGCGGCAATGTACCGCCCGTTGCTGCTGAACTTGGCTCTCGCGGTGGGATGGCCCGTGCCCGCTAGCCGCTGCTGGAGCTCACCTGTTCGCAAAGCACGCCGCGCACACCACCATCAATGATACCGGCGAGTGAGCCAATCAGCACCATACAATTCAAAACCCCTGCATCTCACTCTGTTGCATTGCGTTAACGACCACAACCGAAGGCAGCTGTCACAACAGAAGCAGCAGAAGCAACAGTAGCAGCAGTTGTCACAAGGCAACCACGTTCAAGACCACGCGACGTACCGTCATGTGAGGACCACACGCGCACGTATCCATCGGCGTAACCGGTGCAGAGGTGGTCGCCATCTGCACTCCAGTCTATCGAGAACACTTCCCCCATTCCTTCCTCTGCAGGATGCAGGCACACAATGGGCGGCATCTTGGGATCCTGCCAGACATGGGATGTGGCGGGCACGCACAAAGAATGTCACCAACGCACACATGCATATTCCCATCAGCACACCTCGCGTTCATACACACTGTCCCTTGAAATACAAAACACACACACAGACACGCACGCACACACAACGAAACACACACGTATATGCACACACGTACAGGCACATGCAGGGCAAGCGAAGCAACCCAGATGGGGAAGAAGAAAGGCCCAACTGGCAAAACATACGTCGAGGTAAATGCGTGCTTTGTTGTCGCTTCCACACGACGCGAGCATGTTGTATTTTGGGTTCCATTGGCACATGAACGCGCCAGTCGAGTGGCCCTGCAATGCGGCACGAAACAAACAGACAGCACGGTCCCATGAGATGAGCGCGCTCCTTGGAAACGACGGGCAGCACAAGTTATCACGCGAGGCACAATTTGCAGTGGTATGCGCACGTGAACAACAATCAGAGGACGCACCGCCAATTCACGGAGCTGTGAGGCTGGGATCTCCACATTCTTCTTGGCCACAACGTCGTCTGTGTTGGCGTGAAGTTTGCGCAGCACACATGAAATGAGCACATATTCATCCTTTGGCCAGGGATGATGCGCCCCATGCGTGGCAGGGGTGGGTCCGGGACAATACACTTGAGGCAGCAGAGCATACGCGTTTTGCGTCGACTTACTTGTTTCTGCCTCTGCTGTGCGTGCTCGCTGTACCTTCTGCCACAGCTCCTTTCTTCGCTCCTCGCAGATGGATGGCTGCAAACATGATGGCAGAAGCGTGGTCAAAACAGAGAGCAACAGAGCCGGCATGCAAGCTGAACAAGAAGCAGTGAAACATGATCGCAAGTGCCAACGACCATAACCACTGAAACGGGTGCAAGTGGAGGCCTTGCAAAACGGGTGCGTGGGCACAGGGACGCGCGGGCGCACACCACACAGGCACACAGACACACAGACACACACACAGACACACACCACAGACACACACCACAGACACACAGACACACAGACACACACCACAGACACACAGACACAGACAGACACATGGTTGCACCAACGTACTTGGACAGACTCCAGCAAGGACAAGGGTGGGAGGTCCTCGAGGAACTTGGGGTCTGCGGGAAGCCCTTCCTCTGTCAAGTTTATTTCCGCTTGCACATAGTTGAGGGCGCGCTGCATTTGTGCAATGAGCGACCCGGGCGGGATGTGTGTGGTGGCAATGGCAGAGTGGGCAATGCCGCTCTCCTGCCCAAAGGTGAAGGAGCTGTGTTGGAACCCTGGTTGAAACGTTGTGTGGGAATGTGCGCGGGTTGTGCGGGTTGTGTGTTCATGTGTGAGGGGTTGTGTGAATACAAGTGGTGAACGCGGCAAAGGTGTTGAGCTGTCATGGTTTCGAGGAAACGCCGCCGCCGTGCGGGCGTGAAGCAAGCAGGCGTGTCGACAGTGCAAAGTAAAAGGCGGTGGGGTGGCTGCGCGCTGCTGTTGAAACAGTAGCTGAAAGAAGCAAGAACAAGTGCAAGACGCCAGCAGCCTCGACACAGGTGGAAGCCTCGACACAGGTGGAAGCCTCGACAAGCGGATGCGTCGACAAGCGCGGGGGAGGGGAGGTAGTGGCCACTGACTGACCTGACTCGAGCAGGTACCGGTAGATGAGGAAGTTGATGTGGTCTGTTTCAATACTCATGCTTGGGACCGTCGGTTCATGTGACTGCGAACGGGAACGACAACGTGCAGAAGCAAAGCGAAGAGGGTGCACGACATGAGCTGTAGGATGAGGGGACAGCAGGAACAGGAGAGAGAAGGAGAAGGAGGGGGCGGGAACTGAACAGGAAAGCGGGAGTTGCGGTGGCCAGCAGCAGTGGCCAGCAGCGACCAGAAATGGCCAGCAGTCGGCGACACAGCCCTTCCAACAGCAGTACCACAAGAGGTTGCGTTGCGACAGCAGCAACACAAGCACACAGCACGAGCACAACCCACCCACCCACACACACACACACACACACACACACACACACACACACACACACACACACACACACACACACACACGCACACACACACACACACACGCCACAGCACTCGCGCCGACTTGATGCAGTGACTCGTGAATCATGCACTCCACCACCACAACAACAACAGCGTTCCACACCACAACAAGCACAACTGCAAGACACTGCACACACACGCACACACACGCCTACACGCACCGCACCTTCCTGTCCGCTTCCCAAACTCACGTGATTGGGCGTGTCGAGAAAAGCACACAACAGTGAACAAGAAGGCAACAACAGCAGAGTGGCTGGGCAGCTGTCGGGGATGAAGCGGCTGCAACGAGAGAACACACGCACAAACACACGCACACACGCGCACACACTGGCAGGCGACTGAGAGACTGAAAGGAGGGAGGGCTGCTGGATATGGGCGCGAGTTGGGGTGGTGGGTTGGATGTTCGCGCGTTTGCAGTTTTGCAGCTCTTCTTTGTGTTGCTTGCTTGCTTGCTTGTGTGTTTGTGTGGTGCGATTTTCTGCTGTATTTTCAAGCAATTGCACACACCATACAACTCGCACACAAAGTCGTTTTGAGAATCGTGCGCATTAGTGCCCACAAGCGTATCCACCAGCTTTCCTCCCAGCAAAGCCAGCTTGGGCTGCTTGCTGGCGTTTGCGCTGCCGCTTCTCCCACACACAACAACACAAACATACGACGACCACCACCACACACCCCTTCTTCCCTCTCCCTCTTCAGCACGTCAGCGCTTCGTTTCAGGGCTGCTGCCGCTGCTGCTGTTCTTGGTGCTGTTCAACCAAGACAGGCAGAGAGAGCCGCAAGGAGAGAGTGCGCGCACACTCTTTCCCTTTGCTCCCTTGAGCGTGCGTGTGAAGGACACCGTGTGTGCGTGTGTCCTGCGCTGAAGCTCAAACACAAACGCTGAGACACAAAAGCAACAGAGAGGATACACGCAGTGAAGACGGTACGATGTGCAGCTACGCCACTGCTTATTGTTTGGATTTGGATCTGTCTTGCTTTGCTTGCGTGTGCACAAGCTGGAGTTTGACGTGAGCGCATGCGAGCACGAGCGCGGAGTTGGGGCGGGGGGCTGGCTTGTGCGCTGGTGCTTATGTCCACACGCACGTTTTGTTTGTCCAGATGCCTTGCTGGCGTTTGTTCGGACGCTCACATACGCACACGCATGTACACAAACATACACCACGCAAACGCCACGCACAATACCCACAACTCACACACACACACACACGCACACACACGCACGCACGCACAACCCCCACAACACACACGCAATCCTACACCAACACGCACACGCACACACCAACACACCGCCAACGTGACGCACGATACAGATGATGGGGCTGCAAGGGAGGCCTGAGCCTCCCTCCTCAGCGGCACGATGCACAGTGTGGTGGTGGCTGGGTGCCACCCTGCTCACCTCGCTAGTGCTGATGCCAGCAAGCGGTGCACACGGCACCATTGTTATCCAAGGCCCCGCCGTGCAGACACTGGAGGGCGGCTCCGCATACAGAGACGCTGCCCTGTGCAACCACGACCCCGTGAAGAAACCCTTCTGTGCCTACAAACAAGGCGGCCGATCTGATGGCCAGGACATCACCATCACCGGCCTCCCGCTCCAGTGCAGCACAACCACCGGCGCGTGCACCGTCACCGCGCCAACGGCGCAGTGCTTCACAGACGCAGACTGCCAAACCACGTCCCTGCTGGTCGATGGTGTTCCAGCCACAAACCCGGACGAGCCAGCCGCCATCGTCTACAACATGGGCCGCTACGTCATCACCTTCAAGGTCAACGGTAACAGCGAATCCTGCACGTACGAGAACCCAGGCACCAAGGAGCCCGGGCAGCCCGACTGCACGCGCATCCTCTACGTCCGCGACAGAACCCCGCCGGTCATCACCCTGATCGGCGACAAGACCGTTGTCCTGCAAGGTGGCGAGGAGTTCTCCGACCCGGGCGCCACCGGCCATGACGTCGTTGACGGCGCCATGGACTACATTGCCGACCCGCCCTGCCCCGTGGAGCGGGACGGTGACGGCAACATTGTCAAGTTTATCGGCTCCCCCGGCCAAATCTGCCGCTTTGTCACCACCGCGGACCTTGTCATTGACAACAAGGAAATCAAGAACCAGACCATCTACTACATTGCCCTGGACACCACCCTCAACTACCGCCAGGTGGAGCGCACCATCGTGCTGGAAGACACCATCCCGCCCGTCATGACCCTGTGCGGGCCGCACGACGTGGTTGGCGACTCCTCGCACGAGGCCGGCCAGGAGTACATCGACGCCTGGTGCACCCCAAAGGACAACCCCTGCCTCATGCCAAAGGACCGCCAGCTCACCATGCAGGAGTGTGAGGCAAAGTCGCAGTGCATGTGGATTGCCGGCGCATCGCTGGACGTGGACGGCTTCTGCCACCTCAAGACGAGCCCTTGCTTTGGCATCCGCGACGAGAACGACTGCAACGCAGACTCGGACTGCACCTGGTGCCCGCGCGGCGTCACCGCGTTTGACATTGTCGACGCCAACCCAACAGACGCCATCAAGGTCAACAACCCGGTTGACTCGCAGTCCCTCGGCATCTACACCATCACCTACACGCTCGCTGACGAGAACGGCAACGTGGCCACCCCGGTCACCCGCCGCGTGCGCGTGCGCGACACCACCGCGCCCGCCATCACCCTCCTCGGAGACAGCGAGGTGGAGGTGGAGGGCGCCACCTTCTACTTTGAGCGCTTCGCCACGGCCTCCGACTCCTTTGAAGGCGACATCACAAACCGCATCCTGCTCAAGGTGGACCGCCTGGGCAACCTCGACTGCACAAAGTCGCGCGGCTGCGGCGACCCCAACTTTGTGGACCCGTACGCCCCTGCCGGCACATCCTTCCTCCTCACATACTCCGTGGCAGACTCAAGCGGCAACTCAGACTCCATGACCAGCCGCGCCACGCGCGAGGTGACCATCATCGACACCACCGCGCCCGTACTGCAGCTGCTGGGGCCAAACCCGCTCAACGTCGAAGGCGCCACCGTCTACACGGAGCCGGGGGCCACAGCCACGGACACGCTGGATGACGACGACACGCTCTCGCAGTCGATCATCATTGGCGGCGACCGCGTCGACACCAACGCCCCGGCCTTCTCCTCCTTCAACATCTCCTACGATGTCAACGACGCAGCCGGCAACCCCGCGCGCTCGCTCTTCCGCGAGGTGGTGGTGGTCGACTCCACCCCGCCCGAAATCTCGCTCGTGGGCGACGCCAGCATCGTTGTGGACGCCGCACGCGACTACACGGACAAGAACGTCACCGCGGAGGACTCGCTGGACGGGCCCTACCAGTTTCTGCCGCGCTTCGCCAGCCGCATCCGCAAAGTGGTGCGCAGGCTGGACGTCAGCTGCAGCGACACGGAGTACGAGACGGCGCCACAGTCGGCTCTTGTCGCTCGCTCCTGCGCCCCGCTCACCACGTGCACCGCCGGCCAGTTTGAGAGCCTTGCGCCCACGCCAACCTCCAACCGCCAGTGCCAGGGCACGCGCGCGCCGTGTGCACTTGGCCAGGACTACGAGATTCGCGCGCCCACGCCCACGTCCGACCGCGTGTGCGAGGACTGCAGCGGGGCTCGCCAGCAGCTGGCGCCACGCTCCCTCTACTCCATCATCAACCGCACAGACTGCTTTGACGTGAACCCGCCCAACCTCGTTGTCAACGTGACATGGCCTTCCATGCCCGAACAAGACGACCAACAGTCATCAGCCGCCAGCAACGACAACAGCGACAACGGCACCACCACAACCACCATGAGCCCCAACACCACGCCACCGTTTGCCCACACCAAGGAGGTCAATGGCGTCGTGGTCACCACCATCTTCGTCAACGATACAGTTGCTTGGTACTTTGACCCGTATCTGGTGGACATTGTTGCGCTGAACGGCTACTTCAACTCCAGCACGGTGTTCAACCGCTCAGACTACCTGCCACCAACACTGCCGCCACCGACCACGGCCGCCATGCAAAACCTCACCTCCACCTCCACCTCCACCACCACTGCTGCGACGACGACCACGAGCACCACAGCCGATGCCAACGCCACGACCACTGCCGCACCCGTGATCACCCCGCCGCCTCGCAACATCACCATCGAGCGCTTCGCCGTCGTGTTCACGGAGGCCGGCGAGTATGAGTACACGTCCACGCTCAACAGCTCCCTGCGCGGCGTTGTGCGGGTGATTGACCTGCCTGTCTTTGACAGCTGCGACCTGGAGGCCAGCCCGCTGTTCAACCCGAACGACACGGCCCGCGTCGTGCCGCTCAGGCAGGAGATTGCCGAGCTGGAGGCCTACGCGCACCTGTTTGCAGACGTGTCCCTTCCCTCCATTGACGAGGACTACACGGGCCTGTGCCAGCGCATGAGCACCGTGTTCCTGCGCGACGTGCTGTTTGACTACGCCTTCCCGCCCGGCAGCGGCGCGCGTGCAGGGCAGCTGCAGCAGCTGCCGGCCAGCCTGCTGATTGAGGCCATTGACGAAGACCTGGGCAGGCTGGAGGCGCGCGCCGACGCAAACGCCGCCTGGCGCCGCGTTGTTGCCCCGCAGGTGCTCGCCGTGGGCGAGAACTCGCTCGTGCGCTTCATCCCATCGCCAAACCTGTACGGCCGCGCCACGTTCTCCTGGCGCATGGTGGACGGCAGCCGCGAGGCCGACGACTTTCTCGGCACGGGCCAGGTGCAGATCCTGCCCGTCAACGACTCGCCCACCATCACGGGCAGCGCGGCCGTCAACTTTGTTGACGAAGACACGCCCGTGGACGACATCAACCCAACGCGTGTCGAGGACCTCATGGCCTCGGCCATGGACAACGACCGCATCACGGACGCAAACGTCACTATTGGTGCCGCCGTTGTGGCCGTCGACAACCGATTTGGCACCTGGCAGTTTGCCTGCCCGCCGCCAAACGTCAACGGCGGCAACAACAACCTGCAGTTCCAGGCGTTCCGTGGCGGTGTTGCGCCGGACACGACCGTGCACACGCTGCCTGCGCCCACGGTGGCCACGCTGCTCGGCCCAGAGTGCTTTTTGCGCTTTGTGCCGGAGACCAACTTCAACACGGAGTTTGACCTGACGGGCGAGCCGCGCCCGGCCTCGGACACGCCCACCATCCAGGTGCGCGCGTGGGATCAGACGGGCGAGCGCATGTCCCAGCTACACGAGGGCGTGGACACCACGCAGGGCCCCGGCACACGCGGCAGCCCCTTCAGCGCCAACATCGCCACCGCAGGCGTCACCGTGTACCGCACAGATGACCCGCCCAACATCATCATCGCCCCTGGCGGCGCAGAGTACACGGCCACGTTTGCGCCGGGCTCCCTCACCCCCGTGGGCTTTGTGGACGACGACGCCCTTGCGCTGGAGACGCCCGATGGCCCGCTGCTGTCCGAAATTCGCATCCGCATCAGCAACGTGCAGGACGGCGGCGCCGAGGAGCTGCTGTACGAGACGACTGACACGGGCCTGGAGGTGACAGTTGAGCGCCCGCCCAACACCATCCTCGCCTTTATCCGCCTGGCCAACCGCGCGGAGTCGCGGCGTGACCAGCGCTTCTTCTTTGCCGTGCTCAGCTCCATGCGCTACATCCACCGCAACGTCAACGCCACCCGTGGCGAGCGCGTCGTCTCCGTGCAGGGCGTGCTTGGCCGCGTGCCGGGTGAGCCCGCCTTTGCCACCATCTCTGTCAACGCCGCCAACAACCCGCCCCTGCTAGACCTCAACCCGGCCCTGCGCGGCCACGACACCTTTGTTGTGTACGCATCCGACGGCACGCCGTCCACGCTCGCCCCTGCTGCGTCGCTCATTGACGAGGACAGCGACCCCATCACCGAGGTCACCATCACCATTGAGGGCGGCTTCCTCCCGCGCGAGGAGCTCCTGCTGCCCACAAACATGACCGGCGGGTACGTCGTCACCACCAGCGAAGAGGACGGCAGCATCACCATCCGCCCAGCCCCGGGCGTGGACGCGGGCGCGCTTGATGCAGACAAGCTGGGAAGCCTGCTGCGCCAACTCGAGTACGTGTACCCGGCGCCACTGCCGCCGCCGCCGCCCGCCACCACGACGATGCCCGCTGCCAACGCCACCACAACCGTGCCCAACAACGCAACCGTGACCAGCACCGTTGCGGCGAACATGACGACGACATCAACCACCACCACGACCACAACAACAACAACGACCACAACCACAACCACAACCACGCCCATGCCCATGCTCATGACCACGCGGCGCGTTGTGCTCACCGTGTCGGACGGGCGCGACAGCACGTCCTCGCGCGTGCACATCTCGCCCAGCATGGCCGAGTCCCCGCCCTACCTCGACCTGAACGGCGAGCGGCCGGGCGTGGACACCGCCGTCACCTATTCCGAGAGCCAGGGCCTGCTTGCCCTGGCAGACTCTCCATTTGTGCTTGTGCCCGGCGGCCAGCCGCTCGCGGAGGTGCGCGTGCGCATCGCCTCGAGCCCAGACTGCCTCAACGAGCGCCTGGTGCTGCCGGACGAGATTGCAAATTCGCACTCGTTCAACTTTGCCAACTTTGACGTGTCCACGGGCAAGCTCGTGTTCCGCGGCAGTGCCACAACGGGCACGTGGGCAAACGCCATCTCCTCGGTTGCCTTCGTCTCGGACGCAGCCACCCTCTCTGGCACGTCGCGCACCGTCGTGTTTGAGATTGTGACGGATACGGGCGTGGTGTCCAACCCGGCGCGGGTGATCATCTCGCTCACGGCGTCCAACGACGCGCCCGTGCTCAACCCCTTTGGCGGCCCGCTCTCGCTGTCCGTGACGCAGGACGTCTCCGACTGGGACAACGCTGGCTGGCCCGTGCGTTCGCTGATTGACGAGGCGCAGCCGCTGTCGTACCGCTCGCGCGCCGAGCTGCTGTCCTGCGGCACCGCCGGATGCACGCACGCCGCGGCGCAGGGCCAGTGTGCCGCCAAGGGCCTGCAGCTGTGCACGCACGCACAGGTGTGGCAGGCGTGGCCCAACTTCCCCCACCCGAACGCAGACGGCACCGGTGGCAACGAGGGCGGCGACGACGTGGTCGCCTGGCTCTCCACGCCGCAGAACGGCACGCAGAACCTCCCCTCCCTCTCTGCGCGCAGCATGCAAGTGGGCAACGTGCTGCTGGAGGATGCCTCAGCGCTGGACTCTGAGCACGCGCAGGTGCTGCACCTGTACCCGAACGCCGACGAGCCCCGCTTTGCCTTTGCCCTCAAGCGCGACAGCCGGCTCGGCCTCCCCCTGTGGGCGGCCTGCTGCGAGCTGCCAGAGAGCGAAGCGCCGGGCACCGCCGGCCTTGAGGCCGTGGCCGTGTTCCGCACGGCGGGCGTGACGGGCCGCGTCACCTTCCGTCAGCGCGCCCCGGGCGCCACCACGCACGTGCACTTCAACCTGCGCGGCGTCGGGCGGCAGCTGCGCGAGTACAGCATCTACGCCGGCCAGACGGCCGCGCCCACCTCTGCGGACCGCTGCGACACGGTCGGCTCCATCTTTGACCCGCTCAACCTGGGCCGGTGCGAGCAAGGGGAGGACGACGCGGCATCCTGTGCCATTGGCGACCTGTCCCGCCGCGTGGGCCAGTTTGCTTCGGACCAGTCGTACTTTGACCGCTACGTCACGGACGCCAACTTGCCGCTCTTTGGCGACAACAGCATCATCGGGCGCTCGTTTGCCGTGCTGCGCAACGGCCGCCCCAGCGTGTGCGTGCCCATTGTGGTGAGTCGGCCGTCGCGCCAGACATATGCCACGGTTGAGATGGACGACGAGGTGCGCGGGTCCGTGGCCATGCAGCAGTTTGCCTCGCAGGACGGCACCCTCACCCAGACGCTGGTGACCACCAACCTGCGCCTGGTCAACCCGCCCTCGCTCGCGCCGCAGATTGTGGACTGGAGCCTGGTGTCCAGTGCGGACGGCACGTGCGCGGCCGCCACGCCGCTGTTTGATGTTCCGCTCCGCGTGCGCCAGCCCATGTTCACCTCCACCGCCCAGGTGTGGGCGCCCACCACCAGCGCGTGGGTGCAGCCGCTCGAGGCGCAGGCAAACCAGGGCAACGCCTCCCTCCCCGTGGCGTGGTCCACACTCGCCCTCGACCTTGAGCAAGACTCGCTGTGCCTGGATGCCATGGCCCAGCTCAACCCGCTCGTGCTGGCAGGCAGCGACGGCGACGCGGGGAGCGCCATGCCACGCCTGTGCGTGTACGTGGACGCGGACGCCAGCGCTTCAGCGTCAACGAGCGCTGGCACGTGCGATGCCGTGTGGGGCCAAGCAGGAGCGCGCCTGCGTGCTGCGTGGTGCCAGCCACCGACGTGCACGGCGGATGGGTGGTGCAGTGTGCGGGACGCATGCGTGTCGGCGTCGACTGCGTTTGGCATTGCCACACCGGGTGCTGGTACGTCCGGGAGCGCAGCTGAGGAGGCCAGCGACGCAGCCAAGGTGGCGGCGTTTATGTCTGCCGCCGTTGCTCTGCACCCGGGCACCGCCGCCGCCACAACGGCACACGAGCGCACCAGCCTGTACACGGCGCGCCGCACCATTGCCAACACCAGCACGCTGTGTGCTGGGTTCGTGCCTGGGGCGGAAGCGTGCCCCGCCAACGCGGATGCGTGCGAGGCCGGCGACTGGACGGCCCGCTACGGGCGCCTCACCCTGCAGCCCATCAACACGCGCTTCATGTCCGCGCGCAACCTGCCGTTGCTGTCGAGCAACGACGTGTCCTCTGTGCTGCCGCCCCCCGCCTTTGCCTCCACAACGCCGTCCAAGGCCTCGCTGCGCGTGCAGCGGCCAGACGGCACGTACTCGTGCGCGCCCGTGAAGGAGCAGGTGAAGCCGCGCGAGGTGATTGCCCGCGTCGACATCAACGGCATTCAGGGCTTTGTCACCTTCTATCAGGCGTCCCCAGACGCGGCCACGCAGGTGAAGGTGGAGCTGCGCGGCACGGGCCTGGCCCAGGACAACAGCCTCATCGGCGCAAAGATGACCATCACCAGCAACGCCGTGAACCTGCAGGGCCTGTCCATGTCGGAGGTGTGCAGCGATCTCGGCGATTTGTTCCACCCGGACAACACCACCCTCACTGGCACGTGCAGCGCAGGCAACCTGGCCTCCTGCAGCGTGGGCGACCTGGCTGGGAAGCATGGCGCGTTGCCCAACCAGCCGCCCTACGAACAATACTTTGAGGACAACGACCTGCCCCTGTTTGGCAAGCGCAGTATTGTGGGTCGCTCCATTCGCCTGATGCAAGGCTCCACGCTGCTTGCGTGTGCGCCCATCCTGTACGTGGACCCCGTGCGCGTTGCACGTGCCACGCTGCACTCGCCCGTGCACGGGTACGTGACGGCGTTTCAGCTGCGCGACGAGGCCGACAAGACGCTGGGTGATGCCAGCGGCACCCACGCTGCAGAGACCATCTTCATCGTGGACGTGGCGCGCTCCGATGTCAACGCGACGCAGGGCGCCCTGGACGTCGACTGGGCCGTGCGCGAGTACGACAACGCGTGCACGTGCCAGCGGCTTGGCCCCGCCCTTGCGCTGACCACGACCGGTGAGGCCGTGGGCGACCTGTCTTCGGAGGTGGGCGGCGTGCGCATCCCAGGCAGCGGCCAGGCCAGCGCCCGCCAGGTGTTTGCCTCCACGCGCCTGTCGCTGTCCATGCTCTTGAACCAGTCGGTGTACTTCTCCAACGACGCGTGCGCGGTGTTCCGCGAGGTGCTGCCTGTTGAGCTGGTGGCCTCGTTTGACCGCGAAGATGTGCACGGCCACGTCACGCTGCGCCAGGACCACATGCTGGCGCTGACGCAGGTGACGGTGACGCTGGCTGGGCTGGAGGACCGCGGCAACGGCATTCGCGTGGAGGACCGGCGCCTGCTGCAGACACTTGACGACGAGGGCACCCCGCAGCTCGACTGCAACAGCGGCTCCACCATCTTTGATCCCCTGAAAATTGGCCGCCTGTGCGACAACCGCCTGTTTGCCTCCTCATCAGACGTGTGCGCGCCCGGTGACCTGAGCGGCCGGCACGGCGGCGTGGACCGCCTGCCATCTGCCCGCAACGTCTTTGACGACTACTACCTGAACCTGTACGGCCCCAGCTCGCTGGCGTCGCGCGGGCTGGTCATCACGGGCTCCACTGTGCTGCAGCAGCTGCGCAACCGCCCCTGGATCTGCGCCAACCTCGACGCAACGGAGCCCGCCGCCGCAACGCAGGCCGCTGCCGTCTTCTCCCCGGCGCAGCCAGAGCAGGCGCGCCTGCACGCCGCACACCAGCGGCCCGGCGACGTCGCGGACGGCATTGACGGGCAGGGCGACGGCCGCGGCATTCTGTCTGGCTGGCTGCACTTTTCCAAGCCCACGACCGCCGCCACCGCCGTAGACGACGACGACAGCGCCAGCCCGCCCACGCTCGTGTCCTCGTACCTGCAGCTGAGCGGCAGCGCGTGGAGCGTGGTTGACTGGTACGTGAGTGCCTCGGAGACGTGCGACGATGCCATTGCCGCGGCTGGCGGCAGCACGCGCGAGGACGTGTTCAACCCGCACGGCGTGGCAACCACAAACACCTCTGGGTACGATGACGACTGCGGCACAGGCCGCAACCAGCTGCGGTGCGCAGCGGGCGACCTTGCCAACAAGCTTGGCACGGACGGCCTCGCTGCGTCGTCCTCACCATCCTTTGGTCGCGCTGACGTGAGCACGCAGCTGACGGGCGCGGCCACCATCATCGGGCGGCCGCTTGTGGTTGTGGCGCAGCACGGGACGACCCAGCAGAAGGAGGCGCTGTGCACCGTGGTGCGGTCGTACGGCGGCCCCAAGGTGAGCGACATTGACACGCCCCGCGAGCGGCTGGGCATTGCCGTTGTGGCGACGACCAGCGACCACGGCACGTGGCAGCTCTACCGCAACGAGGCGCAGGGGTGGGTGGATCTGCCGGAGGTGGCCTTCACCAACGCCCTGCACCTGCGTGCGTCGGACACGAACCGGCTGCGCTTCCGCCCCGAGACGCACTTTAGCGGCGACGAGGCGTGCGGCGTGTGCCCGACGCCGCGCCGCAAGAGCTGCGTGCCCTGCGCGCTCAACAGGACGGTGGGCAGCCTGACCTTCTACGGGTGGGACGGCAGCAACGTGGTGGCGGACGGGGTGCGCTTCTCGCTCGCGCTGGCCGGTTCGTCGAGCTCCTACAGCAACCAGTCCAGCACGGTGCTGGTGCAGGTGCAGGACGCCAAGGTGAACGAGACGGCGCCGCACGGCACGTCCTACGAGGTGCTGTTTGATGTGCAGGACAACGTGGGCAACCAGGCTGAGACGGTGACGCGCATGATCCGCGTGGAGGACAGCACGGACCCCGTCATCACGCTTCGCGGCGACGCCATGCTGAAGCACGAGGCTGCCACGCCATATGTTGACGACGGCGCGACGGCCTTTGATGCCCACGACCTTTGGGTGAGCAACAACGTGTTTGTGGAAGGCATTGACGGTGACGTGCCGGCGTACCCGACGCCGCCCGCGGCCATCTCCGTGCTGTCATGCGACCGGGAGAACGACCCCCGCCTGGCCCTGCCCACGTACCAGGACGAGTACGGCCCGCTGTACACGTGCTCGCTGCCGCAGGACATGGCGCAGGAGCCGTTCTTCTGCGTGGAGCGCAGCGAGCCTGCGGCCACCGACCCGCTTCTCCAGCGCAACGGCGGCGGCATTCGCCTGCAGGGCAGTGGCCGCGTCAACGGCTACACCATGCCGTGCACGCTGACGGGCAGCCGCCTCACGTGCTTCTCCAGCGACACGGCCGCCCAGAACCTGCAGTACCCAGGCACGGCCACGGAGCGGCACCTGGCCTGCGCTGCGCGCGTGCGCACGCCGCTGTGCCAGTACCACGACTACATCCTTGCCACGCGCCACCGCTATCCCGTGAGCGGGGAGGTGGACGTGTACGCGCCGGACGGCAGCACGTTCACGCTCAACTACACGGTGGCGGATGCTGCAGGCAACTCGCACCTGGTGCAGCGGCAGGTGGAGATTGAGGACACGCGGCCGCCCGTGCTGCGCCCCTTCAACCAGGGCAACACGCTCGAGTTTGTCCGAGAGAACGGCGTGGCGGCGGAGCCGTACAACCCGCACGACTTTGCGTGCGCGTCGACCATCGCCAGCCGCTTCACGGAGGCCAACGCCAGCATGATCCACTGCGTGTCTGCGCTTGACACGCTGGAGGGGGACCTGAGCTGCGACGTGACGACGTCCGTGTACGTGTTTGGCCCCGGCAGCGGCATGCAGGAGCAGCTGACACGCTTCCGCCGCGCAGCAGAGGTGCACAGCAGCGAGGAGCTGTTTGTGCAGGTGAGCGCGTCCTGCGTCAACTGGAACTCGTTTATCGAGCTGCCCTTCAACACGTCATCGACGCCGACCGACCCCATCTGCTTTGATGCGATGGGCACGCTGGACCTGGTCAACGCAACAGCGCCGCTCAACACATCGTACCTCATCACGTACACGGTGCAGGACCACTCGCGCCAGCAGCACCGCGTGAGCACGCAGCGGCTGCTGACGCTGGTGGACGAGCGGCCGCCGCAGGTGCGCATCCTGAGCGACCCCGTGCTGTTTGTGGACTACCTGACCAACTTCACGGACGCCATGGCCAAGCAAGGGCTGGCCGTGTTTGACGAGCACGATGGCGAGATCACCACGGCCATCCAGGTGGAGTCTAATGTGAACACGGCCGTGCCGGGCAACTACACCGTCTCGTACACAGCACAGGACCTGTCTGGCAACCGCGGCGTGACGGCGACGCGCATTGTGGTGGTGCGGCCGCCGGCGGAGGTGCAGCTCATGCGCAACCAGAGCACCGTCTCGTACGGCCTCACGCTCCGGTACATGCGCCCCTCCGTGTTCAACACGTTTGACGGCCACACCACGTTCCGCTGGGCGCTGTGGTACTCTGTGCGCAACTTCAGCGACGCCTTCTCCGACCTGCGGCGCAGCGACATTGTGCGCCTGGACGCGCGCGGTGTTTCCACGCCCGCTCCCCGCGCCCGCCGCGACGTGACGGCAGAGCCCGAGAACACGGCCGTGTCGTTCTCGCTGGCCACCCCGTGCGACCGCGCGGAGGAGCTGGCGCAGGTGCTTGGCCTCGTGGTGCGACAGGGGGTGCTGCTGTCCAACCTCAGCGTGGCGGCGCCGCTCACGTACGACAACGTGTTCCCGAGCGTGACGGGCCAGCCTGCGCTGGGCCTGGGCATGTGCCCCGTGGTGACAACAACCACCACGACGACGACAACCACGACGACGACCACGGACAACTCGACGACGGTGGACCCGACGCTCAACAGCTCGTCGGGCGGCTCCAACGACGCGGTCATCATCGTGGCTATTGTCATCCCCGTGCTGCTGCTCATCATCGCGCTGGTTGTGTTTGTGTACCGCGCGACAAAGCCGAAGAACCGCCTGGACGCGCTGCTGCAGTACCAGGAGGCGCACGAGCTGTCCCACTACGGTGGCGTGCCTGGCGGCCCCGCCGGCGACAAGGGCCAGACGATGGTGCGTGTCGGCAAGTACAACGTGGAGGTTGACACCAGCCCGCAGCTGCAGAACGAGGACGTGTATGCGTTCCACACGCCCAAGAACATGACGCCCGGGCAGGCCAAGGCACAGGCGACGGCGAAGAAGGCGCCGCCGCCGCCGCCAGAGGACATTTACGAGGACGTGGACCACAAGAAGTCCACGCTGCGGCGGCCAGGGGATGCGCTGCAGCCCAGCACTGTGTTTATCGAGAGCGCGCCGGAGACGTACGAGGCGTTTGACTCGAGCAACCCGGCATTCTCCAGCGACGCTTCGCTGCGGCCCACAGGCTTCCAGCACACGGATGACGACATCTACGATGGCGTGGACGGCGGCAACATGGGCTTCAGCTCGCACGACAAGTCGTCCAGGACGGGCGACCTGGCCAAGGTCACGGAGGAACTGTACGAGGTGCAAGGAAAGGGGGCGACGCTGCGCAAGAAGCCGCCTGCCCCACCGACGGTACCGACTCCCGTGGCACCAGCGCCCCTGGCACCGACAAGTTTCCAGCCCACGGAGGACGATATCTACGATGGCGTGGATGTTGCTGCTCCAGCTGGCTTCAGCTCGCATGACAAGTCTTCTCGCACGGGTGATTTGGCCAAGGTGACGGAAGAGCTGTATGAGGTGCAGGGCAAAGCGTCCACACTTCGCAAGAAGCCACCGGCACCTGCGCCAGTACCCG